GTCCTCTCGGGGCACTGAGGCGCACGGTGTTCCCTAGAAAGCAAGTCAATTTAAAAGCCAGGTTAATTTATGTTACCTCTTTGTGCACTTCGCACCTCTTGTTTAACGCCCTTACTTGGCACAGGCTAAATGTCAAACAGTTCGCGACCCTGGCGCACAGTCATTTGAGCCCGTTTCGGTTGGCGGCCGGACTCGGCTACGATTCTACCTCAGGAAAGGCGGCTGCGGACCACAGGGTCTATGTCACATGCGAGCTCATGCCCATTGAGCTGGTTTTGAGGCTTAGGCGGCTGAGATTTTTCCCAGGCTTCCTCAAGTCAGCGCCGGCTTGCATGCTGGCGATCCTCGACGAGTTAGCTTCAGTGCCCGAATCGTGGTCCGCATTGTGTTGCGATGACCTCTTGTGGCTCAGCAGACGCGTGAATCTAGCCAGAGAGTTCCAGCCCTCGGGCCCCCCTGCGTGGTGGTTGTGGCTCCTGAGGCCCAGCAGTAAAAAGTTCTGGAAGCGAATTTGCAAGCAAGCGGAATCTGCAGCTAAGGCTAAGTTTTTGGACGATCAGCGTCACGAAGAATTCAGAGATGGGTGGCGGAGGTGCTGTATCTCCAAGGGTCTTGCGCCCCCGCCGTTTCTTCGTTCGCCGTCTGCCCTTGCCTTGTATCCTTACCTGGATTGTGGGGCGGTGTTGGCCGCCAAGGGCGCGTGGGCTTCCCATCGCTCGAAGCGCCACCCCCACTTAGACCCCGCCCCCAGCTGCGCGTCAGGTACCGTGCGCATGGCATTCGCACTCAACTTTCACACGCGCCTCAGATTGCTCAAACATGTTCGGCATGGCTCGTCGAGGCGCCTGGCGGACCTTATGGCCGTTCCCCCCCTTCGAGCCCCGAGCGCGTGATGCAGGCTAGGGCTGAGGACGCGGCGCTAGCTCGCACGCTCCGTGGGAAGGGCCACTATGCGGAGTCAGCTCAGCTGCCGCCTGTCCTCACGGTAGGCCCCTGGTTGAGGGGGGCGGCTGCTTCCAGGGGCCTTCCCTCAAGCATGCCGAGGGTATCTTTTCGACCCGTGTGTATCCAGGAAGAGGTACCCACCCGGGCGGTAGTCCACCTGCCCACGCCCCCTGGCACTAAGTACATTATGATTATCCGTGCAGCTCCCAGGAGTCAAGGCGACGTCCAGGACAGAGCGGAGAGTTCCAGTGCCATGGCGGGGCTGAATGTTTTTTTTTTGTTCTGTCATTGAATATCCTCGAACTGTTCCAGAATAGCATCGAGGGACTTCGTATGGAGTTGTTGTTCATTACCACTTTAATCCTGCCTGGTTGTGTTGTTGGTCTCTTGGCAGACCTCCCTCTAACCTCGTGGGGCCCCGCCCCCCGCTGCAAAGCCAAGGGTGGGGGAAGCAGGCCTTTGAGGAGCTGCGATGAGCCGTGGGGGATTTCAGGTAGGTCGCCCTCGGAGTGGAGGCAGCTAGAGCTCGACAGTGCGTGCCTTCGTGCGGCGCTGACGCTGGCGCTGTGTGCGGCGTCCTCGGGCCTGGCGACCTTGCTCACTTTAAACCCACCTGCCCCGCAAGCCCAAATGCCCTGTGTATGGAAAGTCCCCGAGGTCAGGTTCCTGCGCCCCCCTGTCGGCACTGTCTCCGACGCCCACGTCGAGCTGTATGCCAATCGGGGACCGTCAGTGCCTGTTCTTGAATGCCGTGCCGACTTTGGCCCCTCCTGACAGCAGCCAGGTTGAGTTCTACCTTGCTGCTGTCATCACCCAAGCCGCCTCGCAACGCTGTGCCCCCACGCCTCCTGGGGATGCATGGTTAGAGGCGTCAGCTGCCCATCTCTATGCCCCGCTCGATCCATTTTGCGAGTCGGGTTGATGTTGGCCATTGCTGCTCTCCTTGTCCCCCGCTATACTTGCCGCCCTTCTCACCGCTGACGTATGCATGAGTGGACACCGCAGACGTTGGTCTTCAGGGCTGTGGGAAGAAGGAGGAGGAGGAGGAGGAGGAGGAGGAGGAGGAGGAGGAGGAGGA